TCGGAGAGCATCAACGACCATACCGTAGACAATAATAAACAATTTTCTGTTGTGTTGTCTTTTTGTGAATAATTTTTTTTTGCTCTTTGTTTCCTTTTGTTTTTATTCATTTTTGCTGACAAGAGATTGTGTGCTGAAAATATAACCGAGACATTTTGTGTGTATGGACGAAGAGTGGAAGTAAAAGCGCTATGACACGCACGCAGGCACTCTATCGCCTCTACTTTTCTCCGAGCGTGTTATTAAAAAGTTCGTTTGAAATTTGTGTTCGTTGACGGTACGCAAAAGAGAGGAAAAGAGAGCGAGAAAGAGAATAGTCTGTCGTGTTTGCCAAACGGAACGATACAATTTATATAATTTATTAAAATGCCCCATATTATCGCAAGGCAGGATGTGTACGACTGAGCGAGCAAGCGATCATACGCTCTCTTGCGCGCACGCACGCAACAAGGGCCTGCGATAATGAATGTAAAGTTCACACAACAAGTAACAAACAAAACCGTAAATACTTATAAAAACATAGATGCCACTGTGAAAGTGTTGATAACGTCAACCACACGAATGCGGCCGCTCTCTCTCTCTCTCTCTTGTGTGAAAATAGCTATTTTTGATCTCATATTTTCTAATTTGTTGGATCCAAAAGCATTTGCATACATAATTATCATTGAACTTAAGATAAATTTTGCTAAACTTTTTGTCGGGAGTTACGGTGACGGTGTTTTACGCGTTTCGAATCCATGCATTTCATTATCAAAATTTTACGTTCAGGAATTGTGTGTGCCTTAAAATAAAAAAAAATCTTCCAAATTTAATGAAAACCAAAAAAAAAACGTACATCGGCCAATCTTGTGCCAAATCCAAAATTTACTTGCTTTATAGACATGTTTTAAATTCAGTGTGTCAAGTCAATTAAATTAAAGTATGATTTTAATTTCGTTCACAAAAAAGCCACCGGAAAAATAACGGAAAACGAAATGGTATTCGTGTTCAAGTCAGTAAAATATATTGAAGTTCCATTTCAGGTGCTCATTGTTGATGAGTTTTAAAGTTTTCCATTTAAACCAAGAATTTGCAAGTATAAAACTAGCAATGATGACTTTTTGAAAATATACATATTTCTTTCATTTGTTTGAGCTAATATTTCTTTTTCCTGCTTGTTGGTTTGTATGTACTATGTACGCTGTGTATATGTTTCGTTCGTTGGCTTTTCCGCATTAGCTTTTTAAATTGGCAAAAATGTGATTACAAAGAGACAAATGCTGAAAGCACAAATGCTATCAAATAAACAGCAAACTCAACTGAATAACGGGCCAACAAGTTTGTAAAAGCAAAAATGCAACATTATATAATAATGATACAAAAGGAGATGATGAAAGCAAAAAAAAAAAATAGTTAAACAACCCCGACGAGAACCTCAAAAAGTAGAGAAGGAAGGAGGGAGAATGCAGAAATAGTCTGAGAGTTACAAACAGTTTGTATCAGGCAATAAAATTATATCAACTTCAGTTTTTTTCATATTTTTATTTCTTCTTACTTGCATACCGGTTACAATTTTGCATATAGTGCCTTGATGACATTCGGTCTCTGACATGGTCTCTGATATTTGTATATATGTGAGATGTATATTTTTTCTTCTTCTGCAAACGCGTTCTTGTTTGTTCGTACCACATTTAACATTTATCTGTTCGTTTCCATAAATGTACTTTCGATGCACTTTTTCCTTTTTGATTTTTCTGTGGTACAGTCCACTGCAAACCTAGTATTCCACTAAAAATATGTATTTTTCAAGCATGCAGCACTATCTGCATTTAGATATAATATTATTGGAGTATGCATAGAGAAGATGCACAACGTTTGCGAAGCTTTTCATTGCCCACATTTTTCCGATTTGGTAATTTTAAAGTTGTTATGTCAGACCTCGTTCCATTTTAAAATGCATACAATTCCATGAATTTGACAATATTATATGTTATTTGCTCAAGATATATGCACGCAGGGCATCTTCGAAACGGCCAATGTTGAGAGAAAAATCAACTGCTTCGAGTGATGCTTTCGGTGCATTTTAAGAGTATAATATGTGATTGAAAATAGCTGAATTGAATTATGACCATCAACTCAATGCAAAACGAACACAATAATGGAATGTATTGTTTCCGTGGTTGTATATTTGATTTTGTACACACAAATATTTGACATAATCAAGTTAATGGAAAGCCCTTATTTCACAATCGCTCGCCTTGGGGCGTTGCTCCCCTTTCCGAAGGTGAATAATAGCAATTTTATCGTACACGAATGTCAAACAATTCTTTTCAATAAAAGCAATTTCAATCTAAAAAATAAAGTTATCTTTACTAACTCAAACGAACCAAATATTTTTCTATACGAATGAACATTTCTTTACACGAACTTATAAAAATAACTGATTCATTTAAACTCTCTTTTGTTCGTGTTGATATTCTATCGGAAAAGTCGTCCAGTGAACTCGTTCTTTCTGCTCGTTTGAAATGAAAACCCAATTTTAGCACTTAAAATTGTGATTACCAAAAATGAAATATTTAAGTGGCATGGCCAAAATCTCGAATGTTCAGACAACAAAATTAAATAAATTTAATGTTGCACCTTTATCTCAATCTGTGCCGCTGTCACGCTCTATTTTGGTGAAGCTCACACGTTTTTGTATGCGTTCGAAAAAAAAAAAACATTGTGTAAAGGTAAAGTCAGTTCCCGTCTGAAACAGTAGACCGAAACAATGAATGTATATAATTTTTGTGCTTAAAAAAAGAAGAAATATTGTACAATTAACGCAAAAGAAAATATGAAAAGGGAATAAGAGCGGTCAAGAAAAGCGTAAACTTTATCATCAAAAGCTGGTTGAAGGTTTCAGCAATTCAAAATTTTTACACCGGATTTTGTTCACCATTTCTTGAATTGCAACATATTTAACGTGTTTTGTTGATGTTATTCATTTTTTTTCTCTTTCGAATTGTAGACAAAATATAAGGATTACATTTACCTTGTGCTATGTCTGCGTCGGTCGCTTCTTAATTTATAACTTTGAGGCGTTCGCAAACATTGAAATGACACACACACATATAAACCAATTGACAAAAATTTATTTTGCAACGCAACTGGGAGCAAAGTTTTTCCGTTATTCTATCACCCGGAGTTCTTGTACCCTATGCGTTTCACACAACCACTTACCCTTCCTCACTGGAATAACTCCATCCGAAATTTCATACAAAACAAAATGCTTCATGTTGAAAATACAATGGCCATTAATGTTTCTATAGTTATTTATAAGTCTCTTGTAATATTGGTGGTTTTACTGTTGGCTGTTATTGTTTCGACGATGACTACAACAACATCAACAACCGATGTTTATATTGAATTTGGCCGTATCACAGTTGCATGCCGAGCATGTGCATGTGAAAGCTTTCTGTGATTTAATTCGGTTTAAATTTTAAACTTTGATTTCTAGTTGTTGCGAATAAAAGAGCAAACAAAATGCACACAGACACGTTTATACCTCCTCTTCGTCGGTGCATTCTTCGTCTTGGCAAGAAAATCACAACAAATAAAGAGGCTTACGTACGCAAGCTGACTTTTCCGCATGGAACCGAAATTTTGGGAATAAACTGAAATTATGGTCTATGTATGGTTGCAGTAACTTAAATTACCGTGAAAACTTGTGAATATTGCATCTTAAAACTAACATTAGATTCGGGTTTTTCGTGACATAAAAACCCCCACTACACATTCTTTCAGCGTTCAAATTGAAAGAATATCATTTTAAGGCATTTTTCTCAGAAGTGCCTCTTCAGAGTCTAAGTCTTAGACTGAACAATCAATGTCGTTGAAAATTTGACCAGATCTTTTCCTCGTAATGCCCAATCATCCCGTAAAGTCAGATTTTGAATTTCATGTCTGAGCACGAAACCATCGTGTCACCAAAATCGTTGAAAAATGATAAAAAATGTATGGATGTGGGTACTCCATTCGGACCAAAAAAAAATTACACCGGTCAACCGATATTGCTCAAAAACTAATCAGCACGTCTCCTAGTAGTCCTCAATCATCCTGCAAAGTCAGAATTTAAATTGAGTTTTTGGAAGAAGATTTATCGTGTTAACAAATTTTGGCATGAGCGACGCACATTAATATGCCCCAAAATCATCTCCAATAGAATAAAATCCTAATACAATACCTTTCCTACACTAGTTGTGCGGAAAAGTAAAATCAACGTAACCTTAAGCATTAAATTGAACTGTAGTTTCATATACACAACTCTCTTTGCAATATGATAATACAAAAATGTCTTCGGAGAATTGTTGTGTGTGTGTGTGTGTTTGTGTGAGAGAGGCGATTTGTATATATCAGTATGTCCATAACATATAGAAATAGCACTAAATAGTGTCGATATCTATACTATATCGGTGCACTATATATGACGCATACAGACAGTTCTTTCTACTGCCGCACGGAAACTTGTGATTTTTCCCGTCTACACTCACTTCGATCGTGCGATACGGTGCCGTGCGGCAATATCTTCCATATATAGTGGACCGATATAGTATAGATATCGACACTATTTAGTGCTTTTTCTATATATTATGGACACACTGGTATATATATAGAGAAGAACTCTATGTGTATTGTTCAATCGATTTAAAATACTTAGCGATGTATTTTTTGGCCCAAAAGAGATGTGTTTAACGTTTGCCAAAAATCGAAACGTTTTACAAACGAAGAAAGTTTCTTTTTTCGTTATCAAAAGCAAATCTGGCTTTTCCGAACGCAATGTGACATCGCTTTTATCTTCCACTTCTCACTGTCGGTATAGTGCTCTGATGTGGTTTTGGTAGAAAACATGCATTCAATCATACATTCATTCCCTTCAAACAATTTTATCTATTAAATTTTCCCAAATTTCTAGCGTCAACTTAATTATTTTCTATCTCAAACTTTAATGTATCTCTTTGCTCATTTTCTTCTTCTTTCAGCATATCTAAGGGAGAAACCAGTTCATCGAAGGAACTATCTAAATATTAAGCGATGGGAATTTTGCCAATGACAATGTCCACATGATTTTTTTTTACATCTTCTCTATCTAATGTGGAGAATTCATTGATGGGCTCCGATTAAACAACTCACACATACACACACATATATATAATGATCATGACTTCTTGCTGCATACTATATGAGGTATATATACACTTTAATCGATTATTCTAGATAACTTCAAAACAAAAGAACAAAACAGATGAAAAAAAAGAACGATATAAAGTGGTAGAACAAATATATGGCGACGATAAAATTGCGGAAACTACATTGATTTTCATTGATTCAAAGACGTTGCTACTCCAAAATGTTGTCCACCATTTTAAAACCTCATATACATTTTATTTCCATGCCATTTTAATGCAATGCAGTGTTATTCTCTCATCTCTCTTTCTAGTTAAAAACAAATTATGTCTGCACATTTTTCGAGATCGAATAGTTTGGTTCATTTGGATATGAAATAGTAAAATATTGAAAAAGCAAACACAAAAGAAAAGAAACCACTTGATCAACGCATAAAATCATTTAAATATGAACAAAGAAGAAACCAAAACGATCACATTTAACAACTGATTGCATTAAGAACTATTTACTATTAAAAAAAACTATAATTATAAATCTAAAATGACTCTTTTTTTTTGAAGATATTGTCGAAAAATAATTTAAAAAGGAAACATGAACAAATCATTGAAAATGTCAAACTTTATAATAAAAAAATTTATTAAGTAAAAAAAAAAATGAAAAGAAACAAATAAACGAAAACATTTTAAAAAATTCATAGGCTTTGTTAGATATATTTAAGATTATATGATCCTCAAAAATTGCAAAACATGAGAGAATCAACCACAAAACAATCTCCATCCCTTCATCCCATAACAAAAGAACAAAACAAAAATTATAATATGTATTGTAGATGTTATTCATGTAAAGCTCTATTATATTTCCAATAATAATATAAATAAATAAATTAAAAAGCAGAAAAAACTGAATTAATTAAACAAGATTCAAAATATAGTAAATATATGGATACATGATTACCATTTAAAAACAAAACTATACAAACAAACATTTATTTATTGTGTCCCATCGTTGAATTTTTGGATAAAATTGTATTAGAATCTACCATTGACTGAGTACATATAAATATATTTATTATAATTGTAATTCCCCCGAATTGAACTTTATTCATTAGCACATTTTCTCTTTCTCTCTCTCTCTATGTGTGTGTAACTCATCCCCAATAAAAATGAATTGATATAAACTGATGACTGTACCTATTAAAAGTCAGTAGCGAATGATACATTTTACAGATAAAAATAAAGTAAAAATAGACACAAATATCGAGAGTCGAGCGCTATCCATATAAATACATTGTGACGTCACACATCTTACACAGAAACGACATCTTTGTAAAACAGGCTAACTACAATGTAAAAGTATAGCGAGAGGAGAAGGGAGTAAATAAAAAGGGGAAACAGATACATTTGATTTACATTGTAGTTAGTCGGTTATTAATAGATGGCGTTTATATAGTGTGCCCTTATTGCGCTTGACTCTCGACAAATATATACATGTGGCAAACATTTTAACTTTTCGACTGAAATTCAAAACTCATTTTAAACTGGAAATTAAAGTGATGCCAATACCAATGGGAACAAACAATTTGAAATGTATTTTTAGTGGATGTGCGAGGAACGCGAATGTGTTGCTGCATTCAAATTTGCTCAAGGTGTATGTATATGTATGTTATGTATGTGAGAGCATGTGATTTTTGTTCTATTTTTAGCATCAAATTCCCATTCACCATGTTTGAAAAACTATCGGTAAAAATTCTCCGTGTACATGTATCATTGAATGGGACCAGTGTTTCGGAAAAGGACCCATTCCCGACTCCCGATTAAACAGATTTATTGCAATCGAGCGTCGAGCCAATCCATGAGAGGATATATTTATTGTTTCATTTGGGGAAAAATGTTGTAAATGTGTGTGCGAGAGAGTTTGAGTGTATGAGTGTGTATATGTGCCAGAAACCGAACAATGTCGTTGAGAAATAAATTTAAATTTTAGCCAAATATACAATGAATGCAAAAATGCAGACACACAGAGCAAGAAAGACAAAAAAAATACTTTAAACAAAAACCTTGGGGCACCTTAAACGGCAAAAAAATTCACAGGAATTCACGTAAATCCACACTTTTGAATCGAGTGGTTATTGATGAGTTCGGTGAATTCGTGTGAATAGAATGAAATGTGTCAAAGTAATAAAGTGAGGTTATGATAACCGAAATATTTTTTAATTTATTATTTTTTCAATATTTCCGAATGTTTTTGATAGAAAATCGCTCAAAAATGAAAATAAAATTAATTTTTATTAAAAAAATTTAAAAAATATTTACAATTTTGTTACACAAAATATAAATATTGCAGTAATTGCCAGCAGAAACTATTCACCACTATCTCACATATTTGAATAAAATCGCCGTAGAATTCACCGGAATTCATTCGTTTGCTAAAAAATTCAGTTAATTTAGATAATATTATAGAATTCAATCGTTGAAAATTTTGAATGAAGCCCCTTAACAAAAACATGACGCAAATATTTCTATTTCCTGACTTAACTGATCAACACCAAAATGCCCTTTTTGTGCATTTTTTTCTCGTTATGGCTGCTGATGTTTTTTTGAACTTTCGATGTCACATTTACAGCTATTTGAAAAGAGTCCTCCTTTTGAATTTGAATATTTATTTGTTTGAATAGATATTTATGCAATCCAACATAAAGAAGCAAATGTTGAATACTTTTTTTTTTCCTTTTTGAAAAAAAAAAAACGAAATATAGATTGTAATGACCATTTAATATAGACTGCAACATTGTTCCACGTGACAGAAATGACAACAATCATACATTCTCTTTTATTTGATCATTTTATGCCGAATTATACACACAAAAAAGTGTTATGATTGATTGAAATTTCACCGAAATGACCGAATTATCATGTGTATATAATTTCATTATATGGTTAAAGAGTGGCTATGTAGAAATGGAAGTTAGATATGTGTGTATGTCTATGGTGAGTGTGAGCGTTCATGAGTTGATTTTTGTTTTATTTTCAGCATCCAATTCCAGTTGGCCTTAGAAATAAAGTATTCACTCTGAAAAAATCGGAAAAAATACATTATGACAATCTTTCACTAGCAAATTCAACTGTGTATTCCAGAAATGTATACCAAATTCACCAAGCGGCGAATCAGAACCAAAAGATACCAAGGACTTTTAAAAGATTACCGAAAGTACCAAAAAAAATAACATCAAAAGTGTAAAATGTTGAAAAAATGAAAGAAACGAGATCTGAACCATTATTGGTACCGGAGATATGTGGGTTCTTATTCTATATCATTTTTTAACACCACACAAAGAAGATCAGACCTTACAAAAAAAATTGTCCGCACTTCCACGGTGTTTATAACAACTTTCTGAACTAAATGGTATTAACGTTTGTCCCAATCGTAAGACATATTTTTTAGTTCATCAGAAGTCAAGTCCCATTTTAATGAATTCTGCTCTGCGCGTGGATGCAAAGCACGACGATAATGACAGCTCGGCAACGCTCTATTACTCAGCCGTTCTACATACAACGTTTACACGGTGTATTACAACGCGGTCACCTTGCGGCAGAGCTACGCGTCAGTCGTATGTATTATTTATGTATACTATGCGAGACTCGACCCGCTCACACTTGTATGCGGCAGAGCTATGGTCATCGCTATATACATAAAGAATATATACGACCGACGCGTAGCTCTGCCGCAAGGTGACCGCGTTGTAATACACCGTGTAAACGTTGTATGTAAAACGGCTGAGTAGAGATTAGTACCGCTGGCAACCACAGAACTATATAGAATGGAGTCATTTGGTGGCGCTGGCAAGCAATTTTGCGTTATCGTCATGCTTTGCGTGGATGAGTTAACAGTAAATACATCAAAAAATTTCGCAAAGGAGTTTCACCAATAGTAACCCATATAATTTGAAAATAAGACAACTAAACACCTGTGTATACTATATCAAAAGAGTGAAAAGAGAGAAAGAGAGAGAGAGACTATATGATTTAAAGTCGATCAGCTGATATTTTTTTCATCACCCATTAAATTCCACGTCTTTTATTTTAAAGTTCAATATTCATTAAAATGAGTATAATCCTAGATATCTATTGGTGAGCAGAGTAACTTATGTCCATTTTTAGTTTTTGAAAACCTTAACTGATAGTGTGATGACGCACGTCACTTATTTCTTTGAAAAACACAATGAATTATTCAAAAAAAAAAACTCTTTTCTATAACATCGACAATTTAGTGGACAAACATTTAAGCTAAACAATTACAATAAGCTCGTTTATTACAGCTACATAAGATACTCTATGTTTCATCAATAGATGTTGTGTAGTTAAATGAAATAAAAAGAAGAAGAAGAAGAAAAACAACAAAAATAAGAATCCTAGTTAAATTAATCTGAAGCAGGACAAAATGAAACGAAGTGGCAATTGACAAAAAACAAATGATGTTTTAATGAAACAAGCTTTTGCTAATACATCGTCCATCGTTGTCACATACAAAAACCCACTAACAAACTCACACAAAAATGAACAAAAATCGAGAGAGACATAAAAAATCACATTATATCTAGATATGAGCTAGCGTATACAAAGAGAAAGAAGTAAAAAAAATACACACGTATGGTCCATTCATATAAAATACATACATAGACGATGTTAATGCACATACCATACATTTAACAAAAAAAAGATATAGAGATATTTTATTGCAGCCATTGAAATAAATAAATGTTCAGAACAAAAATGTTTTCTCGATTAAAAAGCACAAACACACATACACTCACATACACACACTCTCACATTGACCACAATTCAAATATATATACAATACCATACGATTACCAACATACAAAATGCATCAAACACTTGAAGCCACATTGCGTTCGAATGGTCTCTGAAAGGAAAGTAAAAATGCTGCAGCTGTCAAATAATGACAGAAATTGCATTTCGATTTTTTTTCGCATTATTTTCTGAAAAATGAACAGTAAAATAACATGGTTAGAGAAGAAGAAGAAAAAACCGCGCGCACTAGTATAGAATTAAATGTGATTTTATATCTATAATATATATTGATTGAAGTTAAGCAACGCTTAAAAAACAATTGAGTAGCACATTGCGTGTAAAACACGCATTTTCCATCCATTTTTTTTTTCGTTTTCGTTTTGTTTTCGTCATCGATCAATCTCAATCAATATAAATATACATATTTAATTCAAATTCGCATAAATATTCCGACACACGAAATAACGAAGGTGAGAAATGTCACTTTTCAATTGATTAGTCGCAATTTCTCTGTGTGGCCAAAGTTTATTTAACTTTTTGTTTCCCATCGATGACTAGCTTTTGTTTCGATTAGTATTTGGCGCGCAGTTTTTGCTTATTTATTCATGCGTGAATTTGTTCAAAATTTAATTTATCATGTCTAATTTATTTCATTT